CTTTTCTCTCAGGAGGATACGAGAACTTCCACTCTCAATACCCTGAACTTTGCACTGAGGTGAAAACCATCGACCAGAGCGGAACTGAAACCGAGAAGAGAGTCAACAGCCACAGCGAGAAGCTTTCTCACCACAAACCAGATTACGATCAGGTATGGAAACACCCTTTACAATACAATAGGCTATAGCCTGCTACATCCACTGCCAGTTTATATTTTTAACCTTATCCAAAAAAAGAAAACACACCCAAGCCCTGCTGACAACAGAGAAACGTGTATTTGGCATCAGCCCATCAAAAGATTTTCTTGCCATAGCCTACATGTGATATTCTCTGACCTTCACTGCTCCCCCACCATCTTTATAGGCCTATGCCTCATATTTGGCTCATAAAAAAGGAGAGACCACTCAGTGATGCCCAGTTGACATGGGGACACCTCATATAGAGAAAAACACTTTCATCTCTGACCTTTCCTCTGTCTCCTCCAATGCCCAGACAGAAAGCATGTTGCTGCTCCACATCTCAAAGACCACTCTGTTGTGTCTGTGGTTGACATACTGTGGGTTATTTCACTTAAGGGTTTACAGAATAGGGGAAATCCATCTTTCCAGCTGCATGCATTCATGTGAGCGTTTAGTCTGCAGATGAACGCAGTGTTCTGCTCTGCAGCTTATTGGGCTGGCAGGTGCTTGGGTGTTGCGGCTTGGACCACGGGTGCATTTGCATCAAGATCTGGGGTCCAGTGTTTTGTCTTGTTAGGTGGCCGTGAAATTGTACTATGTTGTATATTCTAGTCCTTATCTACATGGACTCACGTCTCTCCCCCCCCCCCCACACAGGGTAAACCTGTAGAGATCCTGCCTTTCCTCTACCTCGGCAGTGCCTACCACGCCTCCAGACAGGACTATCTCAGCGAACTTCACATCACGGCCTTGCTCAATGTGTCGCGCAGGGACCTGCAGCCGGCCAAGGGCCACTACGACTACAAGTGGATCCCAGTAGAGGACAGCCACATGGCCGACATCAGCTCCCACTTCCAGGAGGCCATAGAGTTTATTGGTGAGTTGAAGGGAATGATCGTAATGCTCTGCTCTCCTTTTAGGGGGTGCAACTCTTCACCTATTTTCTGATTGGCAGGGGTCACACTCAGAGGTTTGTGTCTGGATTTGAATTGTAAAAAGTCACAGCCGTCTTTATGTTTTTCGTTATTTTAAGAAGATAGTTCAGTCACCCAAACTAGCTAGGAAGGGAAATAACCACCACCAAGATGGAGTCTTTCCCGGGAATAACATCAGCTTCTGTTTATTTGTAGTGCAACATCTCCACAAGGAGTCCCAAAACAACTCAAGCTGAGTTAGAGAGCCACCTATACATAGCCCAGGTGTGTTTATTTTTGTTTTGCTGCCTCTCACCTGCTACCGTGCACAAAAAGAGGGCTATAAGAAATCCAGCTGTAATCAGTTTAACTTGTTCGCCTGCCTTCAACCCCCCCCCTAACATATCCTGCCAGTCTCATCCCTTTCCAGCCCTGTATTCCTCCCACCCGTCTTAACTTGAATAAGACGCTCCCATGCCGTCATCGCCTCTCAGGCCTAATCTCAGTGGCTTACTCTGCAGGGTGTGGCCAGTCAGTGTGACAACTGGGTGAGCTGTCCGTGTTTAGTAATGACCGGGTGGAGGAGGCTGGGGGCTGACTGGCACACACACGCACACACGCACGCACACACACACACACACACACACAAACTCAAACATGGTTGTTTATGATGGTTGGCTGAAGGATAAAAGCTAGCTGACTGACACACAGTGAGAACACACAGTTGCTTGTTGCTCCCAGGTGTGAACCATTGATGGGCAGTAATGTGTTACAGAGGAAAAAAGAGTGTGTGGGAGAGGATAGAGGTGGTGGATAACAGCAGCAACAGCAAAAGATGTAGGCCTACACAATGTTCTGGTGGCTATTTATAGGCATATAAGGTAAAACCAAGGACAAACAACTTGGCTGACCGTATTGGGTGGCTGCTATATTGTCGGTATTGTGCATTGTTTGGGGATGCAGCCTACATTTAGGGTGTCTTTGTGTAAGCCCGTCTGTTATTACATAAGGCCGAAAATTGTTGCAGGGGCAGATTTAGCCTACATTCAGAGAGGGCCTCCAAAATTCATCAACCATGCCAAGTGATTAGAAATCCAGCGCACACAAATCCTTAGCGAGCTGCAACTGGTCCCCGAAACAAAATCAATCACCACCATCAGAAACGGATGTGCAGTCATGGAGGAGATATTAAATATTATTGACCTCCCGGATGAAATCAGCTGCTGAAGCTACAGCCAATGAGGGTGCATCACTCCAGGATGGTCATTAAAACACCCACTGCTGCTGTCACTACTCCTTTTCACCCCTTTTCCCTCTTGTGTTGCGTCCTCCACTCCAGACGGGAAGTTCATGATTCATTCATGCGGTTTACTGAGAGTCAGAGCTGTCAGAAATTGCAGAATTGAAGAGCGTTGTTCTCCCTGCAGTGGCTCTCAGTACCAGACAGAAGTGGCCCTCAATGTTTCTATTTCATAGAAAGCGATAGAGAGAGATGTGTAGGTGGCTGTAGGTAGATCAAACTAATGAGACAGACAGAAAAGGAGACATGTAGGTGTTTGCAGCAGTTATAAGAATTAACAAAATGTTGAAATGTGTCGTGAGCGACACAGATAAGTGTGTAGGAGTGCTGCAGCTCTAAATTAAAACACACATCGCTGTACCACAGTGAACTCTGCAGCAGCACTCAGCGCCTCCACAGCAGTGTAGGAGAGAGTCTCATGTACAGCTGAGCTCTGTGAGTCAGACAAGCCTCACAAGTGTATACTGCAACTGGCAGGGGATGTGTGTTTATTTCTGTGTCCCTACAAATAAGGTGTACTGACAAGGTTGATGTTCCTGTTTTTCCATAATATCCTGCAGCTGTGAGTGTGTGAGAGAGAGAGAGCAACTAGATGGATGTGCATAAAACTGTTCGCATTAATTAGGCAGTGGGAGTAAGGAGTATGCAATGACTGATCATAATGTGTTTGTTATTTTTTATTATTAATTGTTTAAAACTCCCTTTGGATTCATTGTAACCTCTCCACCACACTACTTGACTTCAAAAATATCAATTACAGACCCAAACAAAAAATAAAACCTAACACAACAATATGCCCTATATTTTGAAATGGACTTATTCTTTTTTAATAATAATAAATGCAAAGTTTGATTCTGTGAAACAATTTTGCTGATGATTACAGAAAGGAAAATTGTGACCCCATCTCACTACAGATCATTAACATTGGCTTGTCCCTTTTTTCTTCTCCTAACAGATCATGTTAAGCAATCAGGTGGAAAGGTCCTGGTCCACTGCGAAGCAGGCATCTCACGCTCACCTACAATTTGTATGGCATACATAATGAGGACGCAGCAGCTGCGGCTAGATGCGGCCTTCGACATCATCAAGCAGCGCCGGGCAGTCATCTCACCTAACTTCAGTTTCATGGGTCAGCTGCTGCAGTTTGAGTCAGAGGTCCTCTCCACAGCCCCGGCTCATGCCGCCACACCTGAACCTACCACGCCCTGCGCCCCGGAATCCGCCTCCTTTTTTGCCAACGATTTCACCTTCAACACCAAAAACTTTGAGCCATCTGTGTTCACCCTCCCTACCTCTTGCCTGCAGTCCCCGGTCCACCACCAGTTCAAACTGAGCCCAATAACTGCACTGCCTTAAAATGAACTGTGACTGCTTGTAGTCTTACTTGAAAAAATGAAATAAATAATGCTCTCCGTGTGTCTGTTGTTGAAACCAACAGAGCAGACAGACTGGAGATCAGAAACAGAGAAGAGTCAAGATAATGGCACCCACTTCATGGGACTTGAGGCCTATGAAATCTAGGGGCCACAGACATTGATGCTGTTTTCTTGTCTTCTGAACTGCAGTGATGAAACAACACAGCACAGTGATAAACTGCAATATCCATGCCTTAGGTTGATATTGTGATTTATTTGCCTATATTCACAAATACAGTCAGGCATTAAATTAATTTATTTGAAAATTACAGTCTGTCTGATTTTTTGCAATAATGTGGATGTTAATGTGTGTTTAATAAATGTTTTCACCACAAATATAAATTTGCTGTCATGTAATCATTGTAGCATTGTGTTTGCATTGGTAGTAGATGGGTCTCTAATGGAGAAGATAAACAGATCGCAAGTGAACTTTTTAAAGTAAGTTATTGCAGACCTATTCTTGCAAACAGCAAGGCAGAGGAAAAATCAATATTAGTTTTAAACCCTTGCATTTAAGAGAATAAATTCTGACAAAACAGGCCTGAATACAACAGGAGAATCAACAGTGACACCTGCAGCAACCGAGTTGACCTATATGAGCAGCTTTAGATAAGCATAGTCATAGACAGACTGCATTTGCTTAGATACTTGGTCATGAAGTTGCATATGCCTAAATATTAGGTTATCAGTGTAAACCCAGTGTAATCTAAGCAGACTATGAATGAATGAAAACTTGCATGCTTCATCATTAGATTTTGGAAAACCAGCCAGGTAAAGGATGTCAGACGAATTTGCCATTAGAAACAGAGTGATGATGTGCCTTCTAAAGATAGACAGAGGATATCGTTTGGTAACTATAAATAAAAAGCAGCCATTGTTGATTAACAAGTTTGATATCGACTTGACATTGTACACCGTGCTATCGACTCTGTCTTTGGCGCCTTGAAGACAGACAGCTAGGCGGTACCAACTGTAAAAAAATAGGGTGGTAATGAAATAGCAAACGTGTTTAAGTTGGTGTTTGCGTGCAAACCTCACCAAATGTTGAACATACAGTACGTGAAGGTATTGTATTTTTACCATAAATTCCGTCTACTCTATTTCACTACCACACATTATTTCATATCATTTACTGCTAAAACCCTGTTTTCACATAGTGGTATGGTCCATTGTATCCCGCCCCCGCCGCCATTTTCCATGTTATTCTCTTGCCACAGTGTTTCACCAATTTTGAATGCACACGTTTCTAACATTTTGTTAAGTTTGGATTATTAACGTTACTTTCCCGGCTTCTCCGGTTTAGTGGAGGGGGGAGCATATCTCCAATTTCAGTATAGGAGACGCCCTGCTTATAGACCACCATGTACATCAAACAGGTAAGCTAAGTTAACGACACCGGACTTGAACGTGTTGCCCACTATCACTGGCCGAACATTGTTAATTATGCTAGCTTAACGTTACTCCATTGAACAATTGCGCTTGGGATTCCGAGGTTTTCCACACCGTCTAACGTTAGAGAGCAGAGCTAAGAGAAACCACACCAAAGAAGGCCATAGCTAGCTTGAATTGCCCGTCCCCCTTTTCAGGATGCTAAGCTAACGCTACAAGGCTAATGTTAGGTTAGCGGACTTGTCGCTCTTCTGTTAATGTTGCACAAAACCATACTACAGTCGGTTTCATCATATGTAAACATGAGCTTTGGTATACTTTTAGTTATCTGTCGTACGGTATATCTTATTAGCAAGCATGCAAACCCGTTAACGTGCTGAATGAAAACTGGCCCGTACAGTAACGTTAGCCGACAGTCCAGGCCCTGTTGGAAATCTTACCCCGCTTGTGATAACGTTACATGTCATGCGGCGCTTAGCACATAAGTTATACAGGTTGAGTCTAACTTATATCGGAGTTGTTCAGGACATCCAGGAGTAGCTCCTGGCTTGCTATGTTAGCTACAGCTAATGTTAAATATGAGGAGTTTATGGAGTGTGCTCACGGTGGTGTCTGGGTTCTTGTGCAGGTCATCATCCAGGGGTTCCGAAGTTACAGGGACCAAACTGTGGTAGACCCGTTTAGTCCAAAGCACAATGTCATCGGTGAGTATGTGGTCAGCTCACCTTATCAGTCATTCTTTTGTAAACAGTATTTTTGTGTGTATGTCGGTGGAAGGAGATTTGCTTTCATTGATCGAATCAACATAAGTAGCCAGACCAAAGTTAGTGTGCCCAAGGCTTGTCTCATGTGGGTGGTTGTGGACATTTGTCACCTGTCCTCATTTCTTTTGTTATTTTGTTTCTGTTACAGTTGGAAGAAATGGGTCAGGAAAAAGTAACTTTTTCTATGGTAAGTGTCTGTGATAAGTCCAGCAGTCAAACAATTTCACCTCTCATCTGTGTATTTATTTTTTGGTGTCTAAACTGTGGCTTCACTCTGTTTTCTTAGCCATCCAGTTTGTGCTCAGTGATGAGTTCAGTCACTTGCGACCTGAACAGCGCCTGGCCCTGCTCCATGTAAGTACAGGCAAGCTACAGATCCCAGCTACTGTTTTGAAAATGGCCCTGGACATATTAATTGTGTAGAAATCTCTTGTTAGAAATGCTTACACTGACACAATCTTGCATTACTTCATAATAACTGGTGGATTTCAAAATTCTCAATTCTCATCAAAAAATTGTATGATTCTATGCATTTCTGGTAAAATATAAAGTTTGTATTATAGGAGATTGAATCAGAATGGGAAACATTATTAATAAATGTAAACATTTAATTATTGTGTTAAATATGTTTTTCTCCCCCGTCACTTAGGAGGGAACTGGTCCTCGTGTCATTTCGGCTTTTGTGGAGATTATATTTGACAACTCTGACAACCGGCTGCCGGTAGGAATGACCAAGAGTTCATATTGATCCTATTATTGTAATCACAGACACACTAATTGGGTCTTATCTAACTTTAAGTAAGTTTCTCAAATGATATCTTGTTATCTCTGAGTGTATGGCATACATGCTTGGAGGTTTTAATTGTTGTAGACATTATAAGCCAAAGGAAATGTCTCGTTAGCTTAAAGGTGACTAGTTACCAACCTCAGTTCCTCCATGGTCACCATCTTGCTTTCATTTCCTAACCAACAGGTTTTTAAACTCATCTGAAAACTGAAATATAAGTTAACTATCAAGATATACAGTATGTTTACATGACAGAGCTGTGCACTAGTTTAGTCTTAGCTTGTACCTGATCTTCTTAACACTGGACATGTAAGTAGTAATGGCATACAGCTAAGTAATTAACATTACCTTGTATAAATTTACCATTGCATCACAGCCAAAAAAACATACTGTTAGGCTTTCCTGCTCAGCTTCCAGACAGTCAATGTAAGCCCGGGGGAGATGTTTGCTAGCATTAACTTTTCCAGCAGCTGGTAAACAACAGACAGGTCTTGGTCTTGAGAAGCTGCACCATTTATTAAGTGACACACCTACACTGTAAATTTACTGCCAGACTGACAACCAACTGCTAATCTTTCCCAACGCTCTGCTCACTTTTGCCGTCACTTTCTGCCACTCGCTCGCTCTCTCTTAACCTAACACATTACACATGGCCCTATTCCTTGAAGGAGCAACACTACTTTTATAACAGCACCTTTCACGTAGATGTCCTATGAAGAATAAGGAGAGGGAGCTGGCCAAGCGTTGAGGGTTACTGTGCCCGCACAGTGTGAGAGGGAAAATCATTAGTCGCCCACTGATGTTAATGATCGGTGCTCTGCTCCTGAAAGAATATAGGGTACACACTGATCTGAAGCTAGAGTTGTACTGGTATATTGGCATGCCGTTTGAATTGGCCAATGTAAGCCTATATGTGCATATATTTTTATGTACAATTTAACTTTTTATTGCTGCATCTCATAGTGGAATTGGCACTTATGTGTACAGCAGTTGTGCCAAATTAGCTGCAAAATAACAACAAGTTTTTAAAATGGACACCTTAACACATGTGGCAAAGATGTAGCTTCACCTTTATAGCCATTCTCATCATCAGTCCAGACTACAATGGAAGTGGCACAGTATCATCACTATATTGTTATACCCTAAACTGCTGACGACGGCAATGACCACTGATTGTAGTCACACTGCCTCCGGTACACACAGTACTTATTATTCTGATGATGAAGACAGGATGTTTGCACCCCTCTAGAAATCCAAAGATTTTTTTAACTGTGTGACAAACCATAATCATGCAGCCCGGCAATGACGCAACATAACCAGCCAATTCTACTGCCCTGTCTGTGATCCTCTACTTGACCACTGATAAATGTCTCTCCATTCAGATCGACAAAGAAGAAGTCTCCCTTCGCCGCGTAATTGGCGCAAAGAAGGACCAGTACTTCTTAGATAAGAAGATGGTGACGTAAGTATTGCTGTGGATTGACTGTCCATGTAACCACAGGAAATAACAACTACAATTCATTTAATCACTTGTTTGATGGCTTTTATGATTGTTGCAGTAAGAATGATGTCATGAATCTTTTGGAGAGTGCCGGCTTCTCCCGCAGTAACCCTTACTACATCGTTAAGCAGGGAAAGGTGAGAAAAGAATGGGTGCCAGCCTCACATTTGTTTAACACATAATTGTTTATTTTTCAGTACTGTGTAATTCATTACAGTGTTAAAGCAGGGCTGTAAAAACAGTGCTAACTGTTGCTGGATATCTTGGTCAGTCATGTAAAAATCAGAACCTTATCTGCTGATTTAGGGATAACTGTTAAATTCTAGGATCAGAAATAGTCTCCTCTTGATTTCTAAAATCAGAAATGAACATTAGCTAAATGTATATAAAATGTTTTTCTGTCATGTCATCTCACGTGTTACTTCAATGTGTCATGCAGATAAACCAAATGGCCACAGCACCGGACTCCCAGCGTCTGAAGCTGCTGAGAGAGGTGGCAGGGACACGGGTGTATGATGAGCGCAAAGAGGAGAGTATTTCTCTCATGAAGGAGACAGGTGAAAACTTCTTAGCATTATTGTTTTATAGACCTCCATCTATTATCCAATATATGTACTTTCAGGAACCTTAGGCGACGTATGTAAAGTGCTCACTGTACAGAAACAGTGGAAAATAAAGTTGTAATTATGACTGTTTTCATGTAGTAACAGCAGTAAGTCTTATGTTTATGCAGTTTATGATTATGCACCCATCGACCATCTGGGGACCGGAATGTGCCGTTTTTCAGCTTAATCAGTGATGAACGGTGACTGGCGGCGTCAAATTTCCGATTTTCTGCCAGTCACACTAAACGTTACAAACATGCTACGCTGGACTGTGTTTTACGTCATGCGCACAGCAGCAAAGCCAGTAACCGGTGATTGTCAAAGCCAATACACATGTTAAAAATGCAATCGGGGCATCTCTAATAATTACGCATTATAACCAATATATGTTCATGACAGTGAACAACATACAATTCCTACCGCACAGCATTCACCATTAACTTATCACTTGTATCAGAACAATACCAGTCCCAGTGTACAGTTCATAGTGATTAACATTTAAAAAAGCAACAACAACCTGATATGTGTGTTTCTCAGAGGGGAAGCGAGAGAAGATTAATGAGCTGTTGAAGTACATCGAGGAACGTCTGCACACCCTGGAGGATGAGAAGGAGGAGCTGGCTCAATACCAGAAGTGGGACAAAATGAGAAGAGCCCTGGAGTACACCATCTACAACCAGGAGCTGAACGAAACCCGTGCAAAACTGGATGAGGTAACAAACTCAAGAAGAAGAAAAAGATGTGTATTTACAGAGTAAAACAAACTGAATATGTTAGATTTTGTGATTGACATCTGTTTTGTTGCCATGGTGGGAAATTATCACCACCCATCATTCAGAATATTATACTAGTTATACTATTACTATTATACTAGTTAAACATAATATTATATGCAGCTATTTTAAAGTAAGTAAGGTAGAAAAGATGTTCTTCACTGTGGCCTGTGCTCCATTCATTTTGTTTCCTCCTCTGTTGTGCGCAACTTCAATACTAATACATTTGTATTTTGTTTTTTCCAGCTGTCCTCCAAGAGAGAGACCTGTGGAGACAAATCCAGACAGCTACGTGATGCTCAGCAAGATGCCCGAGACAAAGTCGAGGTAAAGAATTCCACTTTGCCGAAGAAATATAAATATCTTGGATAAGGAACGGGTGAAAATAAACAATTTTCATCACAGCATTATCAAGGAATTACAATATTTTGTGTTTCAATTAAATCAAATAATAAATTAATAACTATTTAAACTAAGTCCAGAACTGTCCATTTTTTAAAAACAAATCACAGGCAACTGGACTTGGTTGAAGGTCCCTGAAGGTAGGATAAAAGGCAAAAACGTTAAACGGTACTAGTTCAACTCGCCTCTACTTGACTCTCTTTTGTGCCCCATCCTCCTTTTTTCCATTACAGATATAGTACCCCCTCAGTGTAGCTTGTTGTCATAGCGACACCACATGAAACTGCCATGACATAATCTTCAATACAACACACACCCACGACCCACTCACCAGCAACCAGACAGAGGAACGTCTGCACATTCTCATCTGACCACTGTGTGGTTTTGTGGGTTGCCATAATATTAAAAAAGTACAGAGAGTATCTTTACAGTTAAGCCAAGGTCAAACTACACGATTTTAAGCCTGATTTACGATGATGATTTTGTGTAAACTACTTAATGATGCATCAAAGAGGCTCGCCAACGTCAGCCAGATATTTAGCATGCTAAATATATGGAGTAGTCAGCCAACTCGACATCCAGCCAATGAGAGCAGGCAGCTACTTTTTCACTTCAAAACCTGTTTTTTGTTCACCTCCCACTCTGTCACCTCAGGCTGCTCGCGTGTGATAATCCATTCTTTTACACGCATTCTTTATCTTTTATAATTTTTATCTTTATAATAATAAATATCCCCTGTTTCGCATGTGAATTTGCGTCATTTCCTGCATGACTTCTCCCGTGTGTTTTCCATAGTTTAATGACTGCTTGTCAGGTGACAGCTCATGTAGTGTGTGACCCCCTCCTTCTGTCTGTTATCAGTCACATAGTGTGAACACAACGACTTCAAGACTCCCGTAACAAGACACCACGTCATGTAGTCTGAACAGCACAGCGATCTGCTGATGTTGAATGTTGTGTAGTCTGCACTATGCATTACTATCTCACAATTCTCTGACCAAATGGTAGTCTGCAGAGTTTTCAAATCACTGTTTGGAATTACCTCAGCTCGCTTGGCACCTCGACGGAGGTGATACCAAAAAACCTAGCAGGTACCAGATTTGCCCTGTGGAAAACCAAAAAAGGCGAGTTGAGGCAAGTTGAGCCGGTACCCCAGTGGAAAAGGAGGGTTAAACCAGGAACCCTTTGTTTAACCCTTCGTTTATAACTATGACCTGAATGACTGAGAATCTTCAGACATTATTAAAACAAGATTATTTTATTTTACTGTTATGCACAGATTTTAGAAAGATTTAACTTAGTCATCATGCAAACATGATATGTGAATCACTGTCACATTCAGTAGTCCTATCACACTACAGGAGTTTTGTCAGGATGTGGTTGTAAGGAGAGAAGATAAATGATATCACTGAACTTTTCACTCCTTTTGAATGAAATCTCACAGCTTGTTTCTTTATTTTTTTCTCCTGTTCTGTAGGAGACGGAGCGTGTTGTGCGAGAGCTGAAGTCCAAGATCTCTGCCATGAAGGAGGAGAAAGAGCAGCTATCGGCCGAGCGCCAGGAGCAGATCAAGCAGAGGACCAAGCTCGAGCTGAAGGCCAAGGACCTGCAGGACGAGCTGGCAGGCAACAGTGAACAGAGGGTATGGAAGCCTCCCATCTGCGTCACTCTGCACACGTGACGCTGCACCAACAACACTTCCCCCTCCCCCCACACCATCAGTGTATATAGAGAAGGATGGTAGTTTCTCTTTTCATCCACTCTGCTCTCCCCTGTTACTAATTGCAAAGAGTGGCACAGTTGCTGTTGTTTTTAAGAATAGCAACCTTCTGTGGTCCTCACAATTCTGTAGATTTTTATTAATTAATGGATCAATTATGCTGTCTATAAAATGTTTTAGTGTAATCACCAGAGCCCAAAGTGATCTTAAAATTACAGTGATATAAATTAGAGAACAACAAGAAAATTGTTAATTTACAAAATTGTTACTGATGGATTTCCTGTTGATTGATTACGTCAACTAAAAAAAACACTGATCCAAATAGCACCTTGTTTTAGTCTCATTCCCACTAAAACAAGAAGTTCAGCCTAATGTATAGCGTTGACAGTTTTAGTGCTCAATCTTTACATGATCTTTCAGTAGAATGTTTGCTGGGCCAACAGGGGGATAAATTGAGAACAAAAACAAAGGATGCACCAGCCTGTGTATCAGACTCTGTGCCATCAGCTTCACTATACATCATTCCTGGCACGAGGTTGTATGTCAGAGCTGGCACATATCACCCTCCGTATGGCCTTGTGTTCAGTATGTGTGCACGTGTGAGTAAGGAGACGGTAATCATACATAACAGATTTATTGGCTCAGTCTGTGACTGAACCATGACGGATCCCAGGCAGTATGCTGGCTGTTGGTTGGATTAAGCCCACCTGGCTACGGCTGGCACAACATCAGCCAAAGGTTATTGGAGCCAAATGAAAAGCAAGGAGAGCAGAACTGCGTCACTAGCTAGCTGCTGATGGTTCTAATAAGACATTGAGTTGGCCTTGTCACAAAGGGGGAAAGTAGAGGTATTCATACCTGTGGGATGATGGCCATGATGTTCTAGCTGTTGGAGATCCAGGGGAAAGCTAAGATTCCTAATGAAGTTGGAGGAAAAATGTTGATGCATGTTCCCTGAAAGCACAACCTATTCATACTTTTGCAAGGCTGTAGTTTCCATGTAGTTTATTTACATCTCCTCTTTTAAGTTCTGCATTTTGAAGACTGCTGTTATTGCTCTTCCAGAAACGGCTGCTGAAGGAGCGTCAGAAGCTGTTGGAGAAAATCGAGGAGAAGCAAAAAGAGCTGCAGGAGACCGAACCCAAATTCAACATGGTGAAGGAAAAAGAGGAGCGGGGCATATCCAGGTAGGGATGACTCATTCTCAGCTATGGCCCCTCGAGCAGCTGGTGACCAGGCATAACCCGATGAGTCAGTCATCTCATTTTGAAAACATTTTGATAGTGAGAGATCAAGAGGTGGATGCACATGAGATATTTGTGTGTCCTTCTACAAAGTAGTTTGATGCAGTTGTGCTAAAAACATTTGGAATCCTAAATTGCAGGAAGGTGACACTGAGATCAAATATATCACACCTGTTCTCCCTTTGAAAACTCTGCAGCTCACGTCACCAATCAGGGCTCCAGACTGTGATCATTTTGGTTGCGTATGCAACCTTTTTTTAAGATTGTGCGAGTAATAATTTCACGTGGTCTCATTCGTGTGAGTGCAAGGTGATCATTAGCAGCTCTACCGCATGACTATTTTACTCGCAAATGCACCTAAAGTGTGAGCACACTATTTGAGTAAAGACTGCAAACTACCGTAATCCCCCAGCTCACTTTACAAAAACACGAGAGATGCATTGTGAGCTGAAGCGGGGAGACAGAAGGCAGCAGGCAGAAGATAAGCAAGGTTTGTGTTTGGTTAGCTGGCCATTTAGCGCTATCAGGTGCCTTGTGTTGAAACGTTGAAGTCGATGTACTCTGTGACCAACCAATCACAGCCTGGATGAGGCGGAGCATTAAATAAAGTTTGACGTGCTGCAACAAACCTTCAAATGTTGAACTGATTGTTCTGCATGCATTATTGTTATGATTAATGATTTGCGAGTTATCACATAGCATTATCCAGGGCTCAACGTTAAACGTTTTTGCAACTGGCCCCACCGAGCCAGTGGGTTTGAAAGACTGGCCCGAAGACAATTTTTACCGTCCCTCCTTCAAAAAAGTTATTTATCAGTGTTACAACAAAACCAAAGACTTATGTTAACATGTTAACATGTTTAATTGTTTATCAAATACATCCTAGACATAAAAAAACTAAACTCAAATATCACAGTTAAAATAAAAACTTTTACTTACTTACTTTTACTGCATGTAAAGTTGACTTGTTATGAACTTTACTAAAGAGATTAAAATGGAATCGGAGTTATTTCTGTTTATGTAGGCTATTAGAAACACAACATTATATGTACATCACCACTACTTATATCACACTGACAATGATATTTTCATCAGCTTTAGCTGTAGATATTGTGTCCCTATATTACTAAGCATACCATACAGCTTACAGGCAGGTTGCTGGGCCACATTATGAAGTCCTTACCTTTATGTGTTGTGTCCTGAAGAATGGGGTATTTCCACATTTTATACAGCCTCATTAGGTTGACAATAAAATTTCACATTTTATGCCGTTTCAATTTAAGAGAGAGAGAGAGAGAGTGTAATTTTTTTTTTTTAACAGATGCATAGTGCATTAATGGTTAAACATGTCTTATATAAAACTATTAATGTATTCTAGTATTTATAAGTTTCACTTAACAATATCCCAAACACAAGATTGGAACTTTTTTAAAATATTTGTGTGGATGCACCAAATGGGTATGGTCAAAATGAAACAATTGGCCCATATTAAACTAGAAAAGACTCAAGAGCAGATTTTACTCAAGACTCAAGATTTTATTTTATTAAGATTTTGTTATCTACTGGCTCTACATGAAAATACACACAGACCATTCTTTTAACTGAGTACAGTGACAAAACAAAATACTTTCTTGCAATGTTGAGAACAACAAAAGTCACATTTATATTTGTTTACCAGATTTCATCTAAATCTCTTTTAGAGATGTTTTTTAGACATCTTCCAAATAGACAAATGTGACTGAGTATGTCTTTGGCCGAGGATAAAATAAGTTGTAGGACTGATCTGGCTATGCCTTCATTAGTAAAGATCCAAGACTTCTGTGCTGGTTTCACATTCATGTCCTGTGTTAAACCATTAACCGACAAAGGCCGACTGCCTCTAGTTTCTGTTACTGTCCCGACATTACTTTTTACTGGCCCCGGGCCATCGGGCCACCTTTATTGTCGTTGCACAACAAAAATAAGAAACACAAAACTTGCAGGGACTGATACATTACCTGAAACTCTGAGCCCATCCACACTTCTTACCAGTGGTCAATTAATAATACCTGTACCAAAAAAAATAAAAGGGTGTGACCAAATCATGTGCTTGTCCGACCAACTGAGAAAGTTGGTTGCACCAGTGCTACCAGTGGTCTGGAGCCCTACAGATTATTATTATATGGCTCATTGATGTGGCCTCTTTCCAGACTGGCCCAGGCTACACAGGAAAGGACAGACCTGTACGCTAAGCAGGGCCGTGGCAGCCAGTTCACCTCCAAGGAGGAGAGGGACAAGTGGATTAAGAAGGAACTGAAGTCCCTGGACCAGGCCATCAATGATAAAAAGAGGCAGATTGCAGCCATACACAAAGACCTGGAGGATACAGAGACGAACAAGGAGAAGAACCTCGAGCAGTACAATGTAAGACAACTCTGCTACTACTGTTCCAGTTCTCCGTAAAGAAGATCTTTAGTTCAGTGGGGAGTCTTGTTTTCAGACCCATGTTCATTTTCAGAGGGAGTCATAGTTGAAGAATGATCATTCTTTGTAGCTATGGTGGAAAACCACTAGTTGTGAGGTTCAATTAAAGCTGAATGACTGAAAATGCTTCTGTTACTTAGTCATTACTGCTATATTTTAGTAATAATACTTTTTTTTAGGGAACTGTAAATAGTTTAACTTTTAAATGCTAATTTATGATGTATTTGCCATTTATTTCTGTGTTTTTAATCTAACCTCTTGACAGGTAAGTGTATTTGACCCACTTTCAACTTGTCTCTTTAGAAACTTGATCAAGATTTAAATGAGGTCAAGACTCGCGTTGAGGAACTGGATAAAAAGTATTATGAAGTGAAGAACAGGAAGGATGAGCTCCAGAGTGAAAGAAAGTAAGAACCCTCTAACCTTGTCTCTGACCTCACCTCTGACCAAGTCTTGCTTTGTGCTTGTGCCTTTTTATTTATGTTGTGTGTAGTTTTACACAGTATAGCATGAGTTCATTAGCTAGATGAATCATGCCAGCATCTTGTATGAAGCTGAAAGGTTGAATTGCTTACCCTTCCTTCAAGCCAATATGCTGTTTCCGCTTGGCAGCCTTTAGTGACATACCAGAGTACTGTCTGCTGTGAATGTCAGCAGGCCTTCTCTGTCCACTTAAACAATGAGGTTTATTTATATAACAGAGAGAATGAGGCCTTGGGCCTCTGCTGTCAGACACTTCCTCCAGGGTGGATGAATTGTGCTCTGGGTTAGTAGTGAACAGTCAAGACAGCTGCTTCCCTGCTTTTTGTAACATGACAAACAGAGAATTTCCTTAAGTCTCTCCAACTGTTAATTGAGGTGACTGGCTAAGGCGGCATGAAATTAAATTCCATTATATTCAGTAACAGACCTGCATTAATATCACTAAATGAAACAGATTTCATGAATATGTTCATGTTTGTCCAATATTGAATCCATCATGCACCCTCAAGTTCACTGTGGTCCATTGTTTAGGTGTAGTGGGTGAAAAGGTTACATTATGACAGCTTTGATAGAAGGAACACAACATCCAGACCCCACAGCTGCAAGCCATTAGCAGTGTATGACCTAGAAATATGAATAAATTACGAAAAACAGCATAATGGAAACAAGAGGGAGACTGTTTTAGACTGCAGTCTAATTGTTTTAATTATTTAAATGTCATCATTTAACAAATATTAAGCAAATCTATGTTTCACTTAAGGATGACAGCAAATGGTCTCAATCTAGGACAAAAGAATCTGATTATTTGAAATAAAGTCCAGGTAATACATTTGTAATTCACTTAATATAGAGAGCTTGCATTTAGTGAATTTACTATTTCCTCATTTTTAAGAAGAGAAATAAAATAAAATCAGCTTGTTTTTCTTTCTTGTACGTTCTTTCTATTCATAAATAATTTACATAAAAAAGATATCTAAAAGACCTCTAAGAGACTGGCTTCTTTCTCTGCGAGTATCATGGCTGCAGTGTGGTTCTGGTCCTTTTGGTGACATAAGTGTAACAGTGTGTGATTGTCTGTGTCTGTCCAGCTACCTGTGGCGTGAGGAGAACGCAGAGCAGCAGGCCCTGGCAGCCAAACGAGAGGACCTGGAGAAGAAACAGCAGCTCCTTCGAGCAGCTACCGGCAAGGTCCGTGTCATTGTGTATGGCTGCGTAATAAGTGACTTGTGTAATGCAACTACAGGATACCTAATGCTTTCGTCTGGACACAAGTGAAAGATGTGTCTATGAGCACAGAAACGGAAATTCCTTTTCAGAGGATTGAAATTCATGACATTTATGGTACCACACTAATAGTTTTGCTTGTGCGTGCACACATATTTACCTCCCTTTCTCTGGGGGTGAGATCCATTAAACCTTCGCACATGCACATACTTGCTGACGTACTGTGAGAAAGGGAAATGAGCAAGTGAAGATAAATCAAACCCAAAGTGAAAAAGTGCCAAAGTGAAAAAGTGCCTCTCTCTCCAAGTGAGGCCACCTGAATACTGCAAAGGACTCACTTTGTGACTCAGCCAGTTGTCATGATGGGTATATCAAATGGAGGTCATTCATATGCCTCTACTGGCACCTTATCATACCTAGCTAAATTTACATATGACTCACTCCTCTCTCCTCTCTGCTCTATGCAGTAACTGCCAGTCATTTCTTCTGGGCAAATACATCAATCAAATATCACTTCTGAATAATGTCTGCTGAGATGAAAGGAGGCTGTTTGTGGCTTCATAGACAAATGTCCTGCATTTATTTTTCTTTCATGAGTCCAGGCTGATTCATCCCGTGTCTGGCCTTTGATGGACTCTATCTATCCTCACTCCCATTTTATATTTATAGTGTACGTAATTTTGCACAATATTGTCAAAATGCTCTTTGTTTTTTTCTATACCTCACAGCATCAGCTACAGTATATCTAGAGGTAGGATATAGAAACATATTTCATTTTCTACAGCATACGACAGAAATTCTTCACAGCACAGGATTTTATCTGTTCAGCAGTCCTTCTGTAACAGTGTTCTCTTTTAGAAAAGACTATAGCTGCTTTTAATGATAAAAAATATGAAATGAGAACATTATGTTTTTAGCTCTGTTGTGCTCTGTTATATTGATGTTAGTCATTTATTTTATATATTAGCGTAAGTTATTTTCCCATCTTAAGTGTTAAACTTAGTGATTATAGTACCATTCTTTTTTTTGTAATTTAAGTGAGAGTCATTTGTCCTCTTCTTTCTTCTATGGTCCTCCAGGCTATTCTGAATGGCATTGACAGCATCAACAAAGTCCTTGAGCATTTCCGTAGAAAGGGCATCAACCAGCATGTCATCAACGGTTATCACGGCATTGTCATGAACAACTTTGAGTGCGAGCCTGCATTTTACACCTGTGTGGAGGTGACTGCTGGTACCAGGTGAGGGCTGCTTGGAATATTTTCCCTGCTAGCTCTTTGTGGTGTCTTCAATGAAAATGTCACTCCCAAACATTTGTGGAACGTTTTGCCATAAAACATACATGTAGTCTGATGTAACAACAGTGGCTCCACTTCCTGCATGCTGATACAAATGTGATATAAGGATAGATATAACGAGCAGGGTGTTGCTCTCTGCTGCATGAAAAAACAAAAAACCTTGCTTGAAGTATTATATAGTGTTAAGTTCTTCAGCCTCCTGCACGATCAGGAATTCTCACTAATTATAGGAACTGAAGTTGTATATATTTTGTACATTGAATGTTTTCACAGATATGCAGATATTTGTTGGTTGTTTTCTTTGTTGTAACACTGTCTGCCTACCTGCCAGACTGTTCTACCACATTGTGGAGACTGACGAAGTCAGCACCAAAATACTAATGGAGTTCAACAAAATGAACCTGCCTGGAGAAGTCACATTCCTTCCCCTGAGCAAGCTGGATGTCAGGGACACCGCCTACCCAGAGACCAACGTAAGGAACATAAATTGCATCTGGTACTTTTGTAGGTAGTAAGTTTAAACCCTTACAGCAAATGGGTATAACTATCTCTGGAACAGTAAACATAAGATAAAATGTAATGATGCATGTTAAAATATACTTGATTTTGCTACCTTGAGATGTAACCATACACTTCTTCTTACTTTATCCTCTCTGTCCCCTGTGGGACATGAGGCCACAATGAACTCCCTTGATCTTTCCCAGTTACACCAAACATATTTCGCTGTCACCCATTCTACAACAGTTTTTGTTTGATGATGAGGTGTGTAGTATTTGCAACTGTGTTGGTACCAATGTGTTTTTGCCCCATAAGGACGCTATCCCCATGATCAGCAAGCTGCGCTATAGCAACAACTTTGACAAGGCCTTCAAGCATGTGTTTGGGAAGACCTTGATTTGTCGCAGCATGGAAGTGTCCACCCAGCTGGCCAGAGCTTTCACCATGGACTGTATAACTCTGGAGGGTAAGCTGACCCAGGGTACACAGTACCGTATATACCATTAACTCAAGAACATAAAAGGAAGGTGGTAGCTCTTACAAAAAAAGAGACCTAGAGTTTCAAAACAAAAGTGATTCATTAAAACAAAACTAAACAAATACAATGTGTATGAAAGATATCTAGGGATATGCAACTAAAGAGTTGTTAGGCTTATCACTACACAGCTTGGTACCAGTCTACCTGGTGAAATTGTGTCTGTAGATTGTACGCCCTCAAACACATTTTATATTGACAGCATCAGCAGTACTTGCATTTTGCTGATGCTCCCCTTGCCAGAAACACTAGCTAATACTTCAGTTTGCACTGTGAAGAAAAAAAGAAAAGAACATTATATTGGTTAAAGCCTCTTAAGAGGTCTGAAGTGCAAATAACAACTGTATTATTTGAACTCTCCGCTCTGTCTGAATCACACTCCTAGATTAAACTATCTCTTCTTTGTAGGTGTCAAGAGGTTTGCCAGTGTCTTACGCCACACTAAATCAAGATCTGTGACTCCCCTTTGTAACTCATTGTAATTGCAGTAATGTGGGAGCATTTTATCTCTCATATACAGTACATTATTTTATGACCTCCTAGGTGACCAGGTGAGCCACCGCGGAGCTCTGACAGGAGGCTACTACGATACCAGAAAGTCTCGTCTGGAGCTGCAGAAAGACATGAGGAAGGCTGAGGAGGAGCTGGGTGAGCTGGAGGCCAAGCTCAATGAGAACCTGCGCAGGAACATTGAACATATCCTTTTTATTAAAACATATAATGGATGTGTTTTGTTCCATAGGCTCTCCATTGGGAAGTCAGAACACATAAGTGAAATCATTTTCATTGTGAGATTTGTATTCGTTTCTGAAAATTGCCTTTAAGGCTAGCTGTGCTGCAGACATGGTTGCAGTGTTAAAAAACTGGACATTTCAATGTAGATTAGAAAGGCTGAATTTGTGCCTTTTTTACTCAAAAGTGAGTCATACAGTGCAACAAATGATAACTTTAGGGACCCCCATTGAGATACACTCACTTAAAGGATTATTAGGAACACCATACTAATACTGTGTTTGACCCCCTTTTGCCTTCAGAAGTGCCTTAATTCTACGTGGCATTGATTCAACAAGGTGCTGAAAGCATTCTTTAGAAATGTTGGCCCATATTGATAGGATAGCATCTTGCAGTTGATGGAGATTTGTGGGATGCACATCCAGGGCACGAAGCTCTCGTGCAAATATGCTCTATTGGGTTGAGATCTGGTGACTGTGGGGGCCATTTTAGTACAGTGAACTCATTGTCATGTTCAAGAAACCAATTTGAAATGATTGGAGCTTTGTGACATGGTGCATTATCCTGCTGGAAGTAGCCATCAGAGGATGGCACATGGTGGCCATAAAGGGATGGACATGGTCAGAAACAATGCTCAGGTAGGCCGTGGCATTTAAACGATGCCCAATTGGCACTAAGGGGCCAAGAAAACATCCCCCACACCTTTACACCACCACCAGCAGCCTGCACAGTGGTAACAAGGCATGATGGATCCATGTTCTCATTCTGTTTACGTTAAATTCTGACTCTACCATCTGAATGTCAACAGAAATCGAGACTCATCAGACCAGGCAACATTCTTCAACTGTCCAATTTTGGTGAGCTCTTGCAAATTGTAGCCTCTTTTTCCTATTTGTAGTGGAGATGAGTGGTACCCAGTGGGGTCTTCTGCTGTTGTAGCCCATCCGCCTCAAGGTTGTGCGTGTTGTGGCTTCACAAATGCTTTGCTGCATACCTCGGTTGTAACGAGTGGTTATTTCAGTCAAAGTTGCTCTTCTATCAGCTTGAATCAGTCGGCCCATTCTCCTCTGACCTCTAGCATCAACAAGGCATTTTCGCCCACAGGACTGCCGCATACTGGATGTTTTTCCCTTTTCACACCATTCTTTGTAAACCCTAGAGATGGTTGTGCGTGAAAATCGCAGTAACTGAGCAGATTGTGAAATACTCAGACCAACAACCATGCCACGCTCAAAATTGCTTAAATCACCTTTCTTTCCCATTCTGACATTCAGTTTGGAGTTCAGGAGATTGTCTTGACCAGGACCACACCCCTAAATGCATTGAAGCAACTGCCATGTGATTGGTTGATTAGATAATTGCATTAATGAGAAATTGAACAGGTGTTCCTAATAATCCTTTAGGTGAGTGTATATTGATGTGTGAAATGTGTTGAGTCACATATGAGTACCAAACTGTTATTATGTCAGTGAGTATACAGGAAAGAGCGCATGACAGAGAAAATGTTCATACGTTTGAAAAGGAGTTATTCACCTTTAAATCAGTTAAACACTCTCCATCGCCTAATATTGTTAGAATATTCATAAACATTAGATAACAGAAATCCGTTTCTCATCTTCTTGTAACATTTCCAGGAATATGTTTCAGTTTTAGGATCGAATCACTTATTTTTCGGAAATGTTAAATGATGCATTTCAGTTCAAACTATTCTTTCCAAATTTGTTTTCACATTTAGATATTTTTTTCATAAAATGGCATAATTACAGGTGGAAGGACAGCAGGCAGTACAAGGCAAGCTGCAGCTTGTCTGTGTCTAGAGTATACTGAAATAAAACAGAAGGTGTGATGAACTGTAGGCACTTGCGATATTGGCGTTCTGCACCCGACCTTGAAATAACAAAGAAGGAAACATAGTCATGCGCATAGTCAATATTTTGTGGAAATTGATCAGTCTAAAAAAGACAACATTTGCACCATTATCTCCTGTTGATATATTTTTAACTAGTATGCCACTGTGTGATGTATAGGACACTTTTCTCTGTCTAGGAACTATAGAAAGAAGTTATAACACCCTTGAGTGCAGCCCTCACTTAATTACAGCGTGATGCCACACAGCTGAGCCAAGATGTATTTTAAATGTGGATTAAAAACAATCTGGTTATGTAGCTACCTCAGCCAGCAGGAAGCTGACTCGGGTGCAATGAGAGGGTCTAATCAGGTCAAGAAGGATTAGTGTATGTTTGGTCATATTGGCCAGAGCCGTGACTCACTGCTGGACAGCTCATGAAGCCAAAACAGTTGGATCAGAGGGGATTTGTGTTTGTGTGTACAGAATGTTTCTGGATACGGTCACTTCCGCCCAGGTATGATTATCTGTGTGTTTGCACACCTGTGTGATTGTGTGTGGCTTCTCACAAACAGCCAGTACTGTGTATGTGGGTTAATATGTGCACCTGGCGATTACGTATATATATGTGAGTAGGCAGGGGAAACGGATGACTGAGCCGATGACATGACGCTCGTCCTTCACTCCTGCAGCGGTGACTCAGAGAACAGATCAATTATTTAAACGGCTCTTGCCACCTCTGTCCTGTCAATAAGCACAAGATCTTACATGCAGGATGTTGTTCTGTTTTAAGTTGCCTTCTTCATTTTGCACCACACTGCAGTCAAAGTATTGAGGTCATGCAGTAAGGTCACTTTTGTTGTGACTGCTCATAACTGCTACAACTCTTAGCGACTTGGTTATGTGAAATGCACCTGATTTTGTATTTTATTCATAAGAGCTGAAGTGTAGAGTATCAGATGGGCGTAAATCATCTATTTTCTCCATCTGCTCTGGGCAATAGGCAGGGCAGTCCACTGACTTTCAGTAGCCCTTTTTAAATAAGCTGATTGATCAGTGTCTGTTTATTGAGTCCCATTAAACCTCAAAGGCCCAGAGGAGTGTTGTAGTCCTGGAAGATCAATAAGCCTGTCTGTTAAATTAGCTTAATAATGAGTATGTGCAGTCCTTAATCCTCTGTCTTGATATGACGACACAGTCTTCCCTCGGAGGCCCAGTCACATTATTGAAGCACTCGGAGTTGCACTAAAAAGCCTACAAGCTGTCCACTGACCTTATTTGCTAATGAGAACAGCCTTTACAAATGATCTGTTGCTTCTGTTTTTGTTCATTTGTGTATAATGTTTTTTTGTCCTACTCTGTACTGAGCCTCGAAAAGGTGAATGCAATACACTCAGACAACTAGGCAGTACAGTAGTATTGCAGCTGTAGACACTAGGTCACATCAAGTTGGGGAAACTATGAAAATATAAGTCTGAATACTCAACTTGAAAGTTCTTTGCTAAATGATTACTGAGAGGAAATGCTCATCCATAATAAACATTGGCTTATGTTTCCTTAATCGCTGCCTTCACGCATCAACAATGAGATCGACCAACTGATGAACCAGATGCAGCAGATCGAGACACAACAGAGGAAGTTCAAGGCATCCAGAGACAGTATTCTGTCAGAGATGAAGATGCTGAAAGAGAAGAGGCAGCAATCTGAGAAGACTTTCATGCCCAAGGTGATCATACAGTGATGTCACCATTTCATAATTTAAACTTGTATATAGGGCTTAACGATTAATTGCATTTGTGATTTTATCGCGATATGATAAAATGAGATTTTCTCATCGCAAATGCTGCGATTGCACTCTGTTCACATGCCACGTGAGAATAAAGCAGTCTGTAGAAAGAAGCATCAACTTCGCACGTTACGCTGTACCTTGACCTGTTGTACAATGGCCTCAAGCTTGACAGAAGCTGACACTACAGAAACTTTAGTGTCACACAGGAATGAAAGTAGCACCCGCCACCTGCAGGTAAATTGGTGGCGTTGAAATCGTCGGGCCATCTGCCACTTTGGCGGACAGGAAAAATGCACAGAAAGGCACATGTAGTAAGGTAAGCGTGTTGTGGCGATTGGCGCCAGCGTCACACACACAGCTACCAGTCAGCTTGTCTATTAAACTCGAGAGGCGTCACTTGGCCATTTCTGAATTGAACCTTTTAAACTGAGTATTTTTTGAGGTTTTTGCATAAGAGGTTCTTAATCTCAATGGGACTCTCCTGATTAAATAAAGGTTAAATAAATAAATAAAAATTTGAGATAGACCCATTAATCGGTGGTTGAACTGGGTTTTGTATTGAGTGCTTACTGTATAACACACTGTGGTGAACTTAGTTTTTCTCGTGGTGTGTAGGTAGGCCTGCCTGGTGATATAAAATCATATTATTTAATGCCATGACTCTCAAATGATCTTTCTCATATTATTATAATTTGATATTTCTTCTCCACCATTGCTCATCATAATAATAATAATTATTATTATAATTATTCATGCATCACATAATTTCATCATAACACAGGCCTGGCCTACAAGAAATAACAATGCATGTTTAATCTATCTAATATTGTGTTGGTCGTACTATACACTTGATTTACTGCTTGTTCGTTTTGAAAAATACAGGCGGTAAAGACCTTACAAAGTAATTGCATATTCAGTCGCAATATTGTTTTAAAAAAAAAAATCACAATTAGATTATCTACTAAAATCATTCAGCCCTACTTGTATACAACCCCAGAGTTCAAGGTCCCCAAGACCTGACTGGACTGAAAGTTCTTCATGGTTTTACATGATCTATGTTCCCAGCTCTCGGTCGGTCTGTGCTCTCCACTGATGGTGTGTCTGACTGTTTCTTCTTTTCCAGCAACGCAGTCTCCAAAGTCTGGAGGCCAGCCTCCACGCCATGGAGTCCACCAGGGAGTCGCTGAAGGCCGAGCTGGGTACTGATCTGCTCTCTCAGCTCAGCCTGGAGGACCAGAGGCGTGTCGATGATCTCAATGATGAGATTCGTCAACTCCAACAGGTCAGCTGGAGGATTGGATAGGGGCGTATGATCTGTGTCTGTTTTTATACACCGGATCTGTGTTACGGTTTGTCACACGTGGAGATAACTAGTAGTCTATTAATGACAGGGATTTCTGTCCCTCTTATGGATTTCTGTTAAGTTGAGAGAAAAAGTAAGAAAATGTTTTGTAGTGAGAAAGTCCCCGGAAAATAATATAAAACTAACCTCAAAAAGGCTACCAGTGAGTATATCAGTGAGTTCACCTGCTGCTTGCAGTTTATATATTTATTCCTACATGTCCTTCTGAGAGAAATTATCCACCATGTTAAAGTATTGTAGTATTTTCCAATAAATACAGTATAGATCCCTTTTTCTCTTTAATATATGCTCCTTGTTTGGATTTTTAATATTTGGTCCACAGCTTTTGTTAGTAAGGAGTATTGATACAACATTTGTGGTGAATGTTATCACTAGGTTTAGTCAGAGGTTTTTGTTTTGTGTGTAACTACACTGAAATGGTGGATGCATATACATCCCTCCACCTGCTTCGATATAGTTCAGAGAATAAGCCTGTTACCAACATTTAGTTGTTTGTCTGTTTATTCTCCCTCTCTGTGTCCTGCTAGTGTATTCAAATGACCTGACTGAGGTGAGAGTAGCAGGCAGCAGCTGTGTGTGGGATGTTCCTGTGATACTGCGTTGCCTTGTCTTTCTCTTTCACTGCCAGCTGCTCTCAGCTCTCACCTAAATGAACTCTCAGCCATTTCCTGATATCGTTGCGCAACAACTCTGCCCCCGCAACACAGAGCCTTTCATGTATGGCTCTGCAGTGTTGGCGGTTGTCAAATTATATTGCTTGCCACGTAACACTTTGTTCGAAGTTATTATTATTTTATTTTTAGAAAGCGAGAGCTCGAACTGTGCAAAGCTTTTAGCTAGGTGTGGGAAAATCCTGTAAAATAAGAATGCTTTCAAAAATAGACATGTTAAAAGGTTATATTTATCACTCAACAAAAGGCAAAGTGAGTGACCAACCTTTGTTTTCAAAACATCACTTCTTCTAGATACACTTGTGCATAGTTTTTGAAGGAACTCGGCAGGTAGGTTGGCCCGGACGTCTTGGAGAACTACCCACAGTCCTTCTGTAGATTTAGGCAGCCTCAGTTGCTTCTCTCTCTTCCTGTAATCTTCCTGTAATCCCAGACAAACTCTGTGATGTTGAGATCAGGGCTATGTGGGGGCCAGACCATCACTTTTTTTTATTTTTTATTCATTGTTCTTCTTTAGACTGAAGATAGTTCTTAATAACTTTCACTGTATGTCTGTGGTAATTGTCATGCTGCAGAATAAATCTGGGCCAATCAGATGCTTCCCTGATGGGACTGCATGATGAGTATCTGCCTGTACTTCTCAACATTGAGGAGACCATTCATTTTGACCAAATCCCCAACTCTGTTTGCAGGAAGTTGAAGCCCCAAACTTGCAAGGAATCTCCACCATGCTTCACTGTTGCCTGCAGACACTCATCGTGTCTGTGGCAGCAATTTCTCTACACCTAAAACATTTGCACAGTTCTGTGTACAGATGTAGATATTAATCTGTTTTATTAAACAGTTTGGGTAAAAACCTCTTTAGCTGTTGAGTTGCTGGGAATTTACTGGTTTCTTGTTTGTCTGCACTTGGCAAAAACTTAACAGGAGGAACTGTTTTTGTGTTGATCCCACTGTCCACTCACAGGACAACAGGCAGTTGTTGAATGAGAGGATCAAGCTGGAGGGCATCATGACCCGAGTGGAAACCTATCTCAACGAGAACTTACGGAAGCGTCTTGACCAAGTGGAGCAGGTACACTGTCAATTTAAACTCTGTAGAAACATGTCGTAAGGCACATAGTACGGCTACAATAGTTTTTATATAATGTAAGATGTTATTCATAGAGTAAATAACACATCAGTACTTGCATAACCATCAAGTTCAAGGGTTTTTGTTTGCAGCTGTTACATGATTAAATTAGTGTAATGTGTTGAAAGTGTGTTTCCTGTGTTAAATGGAGAGTCTCTGATTCAGTGCTTTCATTCATACAAGTCAAAAGTGGGGTGTTTGATGTGGCCTAATTTGCATTGACACAGGAGCTAAATGAGCTGCGAGAGACTGAGGGAGGCACAGTGCTCACGGCCACAACATCTGAGCTGGACGGCATCAACAAACGTGTCAGAGACACTTTGGCTCGATCAGAAGGTACGCATTTTACAAAAGATACAACACTGGTATGGCGGTGGAAGCCTAAAGTTTAGAGAAGCTAGTTCGTAACCACAAGGTGAAAATCCACCGTTAAAATCCACAAGCTGTGAAGCAGTTAAAGAAATCCCCCACTTTCTCAGAACCGTAAAACGAAACATACACTCTGGTTCTTCCAGCAGAGCTGATCATTTACCAGCCATGGCTTATTGGTTATGAAGGTTCCCAGTTGAAATTGTACACCTCAATTAAATGTGACGTAGCTTCAAGATGTAAAGTTGAATTTAATAAAATATTATCAAACAGCTGAAACCGTGGCTGTGTTGATACTAAACATATTTGGAGTTGTTCATTTAAACTCTAGAGCAGTTTGGTTTGTTTGGCAGATTAAATCAACGCAGCTTGAACCTGGGTGAGCACAGCGACATTACCAAATCCCTGTCCTTTTTCCCCCCCACTCTGGTTTGGAGCAAAGAAAGACTACTATAGATTATTACAACGTCATGTGACCAATATCGTCATAAGCAGTATTTTGTTTTTTTCTGAGATCATTGCATACACCAACACTAATAATTTAATAAAATATTTATATATTTATTTGAAAGAACATTACCCTATTTCAAATGGGTTATTTATTATCGCACCTTTTTAATTCTACTTAATTCTCACTCTTATTTTAGTGTTTACTCACAAGCAGCTTTAATCTGTTCACCTTGCTTTTCCCATCCACACCTCTGTCTGACATGAACCATCATGCGGCGTAGCATATGCATAAATTTGATCGGAAATGTGAGACTGATCAGCCCCCGTCACTGGTCATGGCTGATCAAGCTGAAAACCATCTGATTCCTGGCCCCTTCATATAATTTAGTTTAGACTCTCCTGTGATAAATTACAAATTTGACTGTGCTGTGAGAAATTTTCAGTGCTCACATGACTTGAACTAACCAGTGAATGATTGCTTTAATGTGTAAACCTATGAACCTTTCTCCCCTCCTTCTGGCAGTGAGAGTAATTACACAACTGCTGTCACGCGTGGACATATGCCTGCGGGTGAGCTTGCCCTAGGCTCATGGTCAGAAATGGTTACAAAAATGAGAAATGTCCACAGTTCCAAGACAATAATCCATTATTTAAGTAGAGTAAAGATAATAGCTACACATAGCCTATTATTATTTTTATTGTTGTTATGGACAAGCAAAGTTATCTATTTTATTTTTTTCTTGTTTCAAATAACTGTTACATAAAAGTATTGGGGAAATTCTATCAGATCGCTCCTCATCCTAATTAGGTCATCCACACGGGTAGTATTATACAGGGAAAGACTACAGCTTGCAAATGCTTTTAGATTTGAATGAGACAGGAGGAGTGAAAGAGTTTAGTGACCAAATAAGTTGTGGGAAACAAATTTAAGGTAATTTTTTGATACGTGTGTTGAAAGTAAACAACGGAAAATTATTTTGTTAACTTTCGGTCAATAAATAGAATTGAAAGATCTCCGTGCTTTTTTTCCGTTAGTGAGTCACAAACTTCCTCCAAAAATGACAGTAACAAGTATAAAACGAGTAAGGAGTCTGTTTAAACAAGTCACTAAACCACACTAAAGACTCTAAAGAAGCAAACAGAGGAAAAGAGCAGACCCGGCGCCAGACACAAATTCAAAGACGGGCATTACATTTTTTCGGAGGGAGCATTGAGATCAGCCTCATTGCAACCTTAACTATTAATTAAATCTACAAAATAATTAATATAGGCTACCACTCTAATGACACAATAGAGGAGCTGACAGTTAAAGTATCCGTTCTATTGCCTACTTAAGCAGTCTAAACACGTTTTATTTATTGTTCGTTATTATGGCCTATAGATTTCGATTTATCTTTTCTTATATTTTGTTTTTTAAATGGCAGGGACTTTAGAATAGTACACAATATAACCAAAAGGTTTAATCAAAGTGCTATTTGCCGTTGTAGACTAACTATGTTTTCACCATGCTCGGACAAGGACTAAAGCCTGCATAAAGTTAGTAGAGCGGTAGGCGACGTTGTGCAACAGAGTGAAATCTCCTTTAAAACGCTATCCTTCCACTCATCCCTGAACTTTTTGGTTAGGTCCTTTTCAAATGCCAACTTAATTAAATTGGCCTTGCGTCGATGAAGCATGCTAAGGCGATGCTCGGTGAGGATGTTCTTTAATGTGGAAAAAGAGTTCTCACAGAGTGCCGTACTTGCGCCAAAGGTCAAAGCATGTTTAGCGCCGTCATCACACTTAGCATTGCTTCGAGAGGTTTTTGAAAGTGTTGTAGAAGTTTTTTCATTGTCCATTTACCACCGTTGGCTGGAGATGAGTCCTTCATTTGCATGCTTAGGAATTAGTGAGCCACTGTGTATTCAGACTCCACAATTGGTGTATTAGTAAGGTCCAGCAAAGGTTTCACTTTTGACACATCTAAGAAAGCAGAATCCTCTGGGTCCAGAGACCTGAGTGCATCCATCAGCATACAGTTGCGCTCCCCAAAGCGCTCCTTCATTTCCCCTCAAACTGCATCGATACAACTGAAATACATTGTGCGTAGCTCGGTTTCGTCGCTGTAGAAAACACTTCTCGACTACATACATAGTGAAGGATGTGTTTAGTGTGCGTTGTCTCTTATTTGGCACAGGCTCTGCTGTTGCATCCTTGCAGCGCTTCAAGAGTGTCACAAATTCGGTCTCAGTGGAGATTTTCAATACACTTAACATGCGGAATAGACAAATTGCACACCTGTTAAAATGTCTTCTCACTGTAGCATCATATTAGGGGGGTCAAGATATGATAAGATTTTATGCACCGTCTCGGCAGTGAACCTAAAGCTGGGTTCAGACATGGCCCGTAGTAAACCAGCTGCTCCAACTCGCACGTCTGCTCCATAGGCTGTGGTGCTGTTGATTTCTCGGAGCAGTGTTGCTAGGTCATCAAATGATCTCAGAATAACAGAGACCGTGCCCAAATGACCAGTCCAACGTTGCTCTAAGAGGCATTTCAGTGTCTCTCCTTTGTAGAGAATGGCAACGGTAGGTTTTCTGCAGAATTTGTAGAGCATGTTGCACATAGTAAAAAAGTCTACCAAAGCTTGCTTTGCTGCCAAAGCATGGGTGACTACCAAATGCAATTGGTGGTTGAAACAATGGACATATGGTATGTCTCGGTGCAGCTTTTGTTGGAGACGTCTTTTTTTGCCTGAGAAAAAACGTGCAGGAAAGTTTTTCAGGATTACTTGGTTGGGTTTCTCAGCACCGAGATCCCCTTGGCTGTCGCTTGATGTCCATATTCACATCATGGCTCACTCGGCACAGTTGTTTATTAATCACTAACAGCTAACTCTACTGTAATGTTACTGTAACGTTAACTTGGTGCTTCTATGCTTGGCACATAACCCGGAAATGATCGGTGTGTGCCGCGCTTGCCTTCGACAAACCAATCAGATCTTTATATTATTTTAAAACTCAGACAAAATACTTTCGCGGGCAGGCACTGGTGACTCCTAGGGGGGGCCAGGCCCTCTAATGCCCGCCCATGGCGCTGGGACTGAACGTAGTTAGTGACAAGTGATTTGAATAGCAAATAAAAATGTACAGAGAAGTGTTTAAATATACCAGAAGAAGAAACCAACAGAAAGCCAAGCTTGTGGTGATAAATTACCAACAGTGACGAACATGCCTGAGACTGCAGCCGAAGGTGAGCGGCTGTTAAAATCATGTATAGACTCAGCACTTGCAGGCCTTTTTATACAGTTTATGGTGGAGGCATATAAGGGGGAAAAAGGCGTGCTCTTCTCTTTCTTTCGGTTTGTTGCTTTCTTGTTTGGCTGCAAGCAAAACCATACAAACAGTAATTTTTTGCCGTGATCTGGCCACAAAAAGTATCAAAAGAAGTTATGGTTTGACTGGAGACATTTTGATTTTATGCGATACTGGGCTGTTTTGGTCGATACCATAAAGGTATAGAGTAGCGATACCCATCCCTAGTTGTTCCCTCCTTCATCACTGACAAATCAGTCATTGCCGGTTGATGTAAAATGCATCACTACCGGTGCACCAGCGCAGTAATGTTGCCACAGACACCAGATTTAGAAACTCCAGGATACTTTGAAATACAAAAATATTTACCTGGCAGTGATGGGCTTAATCTGCACAGTTTGAACTCATTTGGCAAGGGCTTGAATGTAACAGATGTTCATTTATATGTTAAAGTCCAGCACTCTAGCTTTAAAAAGGCTACTTTATTCCCTGCTCCTTGTTTTTACAGTGGTTAAGATGAAAGCTTTCTGCTGATAATAGCACTTCTGATGCTCTCAAACATAAGAATTCGAAATGGTACAAGGCCATCTCCAAAGACAATGAAAATGACATTTTGGCCAATGATTTGGACAATGACAATCAAACAATACTGTAACATGCACCACTGCTGTTGTTGCGCTCTGGCCGTCATGTTGCTGCACCTGGATCGAGCCATAAAGGCAAGGGTGCCGGCAGCTAGAGCCAAACAAACATGCCATCGATGGTTCGGATGTTTTTCACTGTTTAGAGGAAGACTGCTCTATTGCAATATGGCACTAGTCCGTCCTCCTCCCCCTCTCTCTGGTGTGATTCACTGCAGGTAATGTGCCAAGTTTTAAGCTACATGACGAAGTAGGCTGAACAGTTTGACTACAGACAGCTTTCAATTTAGCTGGTTTGTACATTTGGCTAATTGCCAAGCTAACATTAGCTGTGCTTGTATAAAACAAACAGATGTATTGATAAAGTGTCTTTTTACTTGCAGTGGTTTTATTGCACGTACTTAGAGTAACAAGCGCCGCTGTTGTGAACTAAAGTAGTTTGAAGCTAACATTACATTCAGTTCACTTCAGTCTCCATCGCAGCCATGATTTCTGCGTGCGCGCTGACGCATGTTTCAATCAGGAGGAAGATAGTAGGACATTTTAAGCATTCCGAACTTTCCATCTCGTCTAAAAGAATACATTTTACATGCTGAGGAGTTTGCTGGAGTGGTGTGAACAGCTGACAATATTAGCTCAGCTACAGCCACAGCAGCAGACATGATCCCCTCCATCAGCTGTTTTTTTCAGCTTTGTTTATTGTGCTTTAAAGCACATCCTAAGGACTGAGGTTTAGGTCTGGACAACACCTGCTTTTTATTTTATGCCATAGACAGCTCACTATTACGTTGCTGTTTGCAGCTCAGAAAATATATGGAGCTTGGTTGTTGTGGTTTTATATAAAAATAAAATGTGGCATATAATCCTCTCCCAAGTGAAATATTTATATTTTGCAGGGGTGAATGTCTGTCTACATTTTTTAAAATGATCATATTTTTTTTTTGTAGAATGAAATGTTATTTGTCTTGTTTAATATCTGTTTCTACAACAAATGAGTAATAGGTAGTACAGGAGAGACTTAGTATTATCTTCAATGAAATAAAAAAAACAAAGCGTAAATATCAGCCAAAATGAGTTCTAACATATCGGCATATTGATTATATATCAGAGCATTAATTAAGACCATGGGTCCTCCAGCACGATAAAGACCCAAAGCACAATGTTATATGGTGACACGAAGTGTATAATTGTTGTCATGGTGCTGTGACTCAGATGAGGTTGAAAGCACTTGTTCCTGTATAGAATTAATTTGCATGGATTCATAAAAAAAGGCTATATTGTAATGCAGTAAACCATCAAAACCATCATAAGGTAGATTATAATGCACCTGAATATCTTCTAATACACCTGGAATACAACTGTAACTGTAAATTTGATGAAAAGAAACTGATATACAACAGTTATTACACAATCTTTCAAAAATATACCAGGTGAATGTCCATGTTTTGGCCATATTTACTATTTATATGTTCACTTTTATTGGTCGTTATCTTCAAAACATTATTTCTCTCCATACAACCACATTCCAAATAACATAAAGCTTCCAAAACATTGATTTTTTTGATTGATTAAAAACAGTCAATATATATGACCAAAAGCACTCCCATGCTTTACAGGCGATAGCTTGAGAACAGAACATCCTACAGGGCTGTGGGCTCTTTCTCTTCGTATTGAAGAGACGAATCAATTGATGTCTGTGTAGCTCCTACGGGTCACCAGCAGAGGCCAATAAAGATCGACTTCGCCATAGCAAACTCTTCTTCTCTACTTTAATCTGACGGCAGAAACAAAACTCACCAAGACGGCGGCCTGCCAGACGGTCTCTGTTTACACAAAGGACCGCTGTTTTTGGACGGAAAACAGCTTGAACAGCGAACATCGATTACGTCCCCTGTATGGGGGAAGTCTGTTACAAAGTGGTTTAACAGAGTGGGTTAAATAGCCTCCACATTAGTAGGTTGTTGTTGAAGGATGTAAAGCTAAATGGAGTCATTGTGGCTGCGGGATGAAGATGAAACTCATACACAGGGCTTAACTTTTAAACCTGAGAAACCAGCCTGTGACAGAATATTTATCCTTTTCAGAGCCAGGGTCTTGATGTGTAAGCAGTAATGTCTCATCTGGAATGAAACGCATAATTTCTACTGCACCGCCCTTACCATGTCCTCCAATGTCTTCCCCAGATCTGGATGCTCTGGTTGATAAGACAGAGGGGGAGATCAAGGACCACATAAAGAGCATGGAGCGCTGGAAGAACATTGAGAAGGAGCAGAATGACGCCATTAACCACGACACCAAGGAGCTGGAGAAGATGACCAACAGGCAGGGCATGCTGCTCAAAAAGAAAGAGGAGTGCATGAAGAAGATCAGAGAGCTCGGCTCGCTGCCTCAGGAGGCCTTTGAGAAGTACCAGACCCTCACACTCAAACAGGTACACACACACACAGCTTAATGACGATACATGATGGTTTGTAGTTTATCTGTAGTTAATGAGGCTTCAGCAGTGTAACGTTAGACAAATCAAGTGGATCTCTTTTTAGTACAAATTTCCCATTAAAACTGATTAGAGAACAGATCTCTTCAGGATTAATATGAACAGGGGGAATGATTACAAGAAAGCTGTAAACACAACATTGATATATCATCACCTTTATAAAGTTGTTTTGGTGAATGTGTTGGCAAACATTTACACATCCAGCTGACACAGAGCAGCATTAGCATCCACGTGGCGTTGTTGTGCGTCTGTTTGACTTGTCACTGACACCCAAGACATAACAGCAGCACCAACAATAACTAAGTAGGTCGACTGAAGGCCATTTCTTCTGTGCAGCTTATCTTACTACCTGAGTCAAACTTAAGAGTGTGCTTATATATAGAGAAAGAGAGAGAGACGCGCGCACACACACACACACACACACACACACACAGGTCTCCAAAGGATTAAGGTCTGAGACCGTCATATCCCACCTACTCACCAGTGACTCAGACACTATCTAGTGGTCTGTCTCCCAGAGGCAGCTGGCTGAAAAAGAATCCGACTGAGTGGACTTGGTTGCATCTTTTGTAAGTGTCTGAGCATGTGCAGTGTGTGTGTGTGTGTGTGTCCTCTCCCCTGCTTGACATTGCTGAAAATAGCCTTACACTTTTCATAAACACTCCACATAGTTAATCTTTCTCCCGAGGACACTGCTCGGTGGCAAGATGGTGCCATTGATTGCAGAAGTGGATGAAAGGGCCAAGTAATAATGACACCTGCTCATGTTCCCTCGGTCATTAGTGATTCAGATTGGATGAATTAATAGTTTGAGAGTTTGTAGAGTGCATGTCACTGCTGAGCCAGACTAAGCTGGTTCTTAATTAATCAGGTCATGTCATCTAAAGATATGAATAGAACCTGGCAAAGCACTTTTAGAGACCTTTTCTGAAATGCATAATGCATTCGAATTTATGTCCCTGTTTGTCAACAAGTGGAATCAGTGTACACTCTGACACTGACAGGTTGCAGCTAACTTTCTGTCAAGACGATGACACAGGAGTTTTGCATATGTTAGGGGAAAAATTATCTGAAAATAATCATATCCAATTTGATAAATTTTATGGAAGTGCAGTTATTACAAAAGCAAAAATGCAAAATTGAGAGATTTCAGAAGTTTTTGTTTAGAGGTGTGTGTGTGTGTGTGTGTGTGTGTGTGCGTGCAAGATTTGCGCAGCAACCATTGTCAATGTGTTTGCAAGAGGAGCTTGTGCAGCTCTGCAGTCGAATATGATTTTTGCCCATTTTAAATATAAAAAAAATGAAAATCATTATGTGGCAGTCTGCGTTGATAATGTGGCGCCACAAACAAATCGATGTATGGGAAACACTGATTATGATCATAGTTATAATTTATAGTGGATCTTAAAAACTCTCCTCTACCAGGATAAATAAAAATGAACACACGATGTAGAGCAACATTTAAAAATGACTAATATGGATAAGAATGGAATAAATAAAATTTAAAGAACTTAAAATCCACATTATAGACGAGGCTCTGAAAACAAGCGTGTTCTGATAAGAGGTGGTATTATGCTTTTTGGCTTTTCCCCATCTCCTTCATTGAGTTATCTCTTTTTTTGTGCATGTAACAGGTTTGCAAAGTGAAAAAGCCCAAAGTCCAGCCCAAAGGGAGTTCCCATCTCCCACAGAAAGCTCTGCTCTGAACCGCTTGAAAACAGCTCGTTTGTAGTCCAGCCCTTCACTCCCTTTACTTGTGACCTCACAATGAAAACGCGTCATAAAGCTTGCCAAACAGCTAGCGGGGTCAGGCATGCCCTCAAACCAAGCTAGTCTGAACGGAGGCCCTTTGGCTCCACTCGCCTTTGTTTGGTTTTCCATTGTAGAAATGTTGTACCTGCTTCCAGGTACTTTTTTTGTATCACCTCACCTCCCTCCAGGTTCCAAGCCAACTGAGGGATACTAAAATGTAACAAGAAAACAGGACAGACTGCTGATTGGTCAGAGAGAATATACACTATTCACTGCATCATCATTGCATGTGCACCAGACAGAGGCCAGCAACATAAAGTTTTATATTTTACAGTTTCCATATGTAATTTCATCTCTAAATCCACTTCTGAGAAGTTCTGAGGTGAGAAAGTAGCTGTGTAGATTTCAAATATTGACAGTTTTACGAGAAGTGATGGTGGAACAAAAATTTGCTTGAATATTTTCGGAGTTGAGGAGCTCCTAGTGGCGGCGGGGGAAGCCTGTGCCAAGCCGCGGGAGGAGCATGTGATGGCCGGCCAGCCGCCCGCTCACAGAGCCCTCTGCTCCCGCCGTCACACACAGACCGCTGCAGCAACAACAGCAGAAGAAAACGCAGCTGGAAGGTTTTCATACCGCTTATCTGTCTTTACATTCTGAGGAATGTTGAAACGTTTTAACTTAAAAAAGAGAAAGCTGTGTGGATCGCTGGTGTGTGTGTCGTATTGAACATTACGTCGCGGCAATTGTATGTGGCGTCGCTTTGACGACAAGCTACGTACTATCTCTGGGTATTATCTGCAATGGAAAACGGAGCAGGACCAAGTAGAGTCGAGTATCAATTTGCGCTATGGTAGCATTTTTCGGCAAGGCAGCATAGATCGTCAGAACACCAGCAACAGTTCAACATTTAGTCCTGATGGTAAGATGTGGAACAATAATGTTGTGTGGTTGTGGACTTGTGAGTAACTTATACCATCTGCTAGGTTACGGTCTCAGTCTGAAGCGGCTTTGATTTGGATCACACTACCTTGTTTGTTACGCCCCGCCCTTCTCTGCTTCTGATTGGCTAGTAGTCCTTACCTGGGAACTGCGCATGTGCAACTCCCAACAAAGATTTTGTACAAGTAAGATGCATCACTCTGTAGCTCAAGAGTGGAGCGTACAACACATAGGGTGAAAAGAGGAGCTGCAGCAATGTGAAGTATAAGGAAAAATATGGTGTTTTGTGAAAATTAAACCATGTAAACCTGTTCTGGTACAACCCCTAATTAAGATGTTGAACCTGAAAGTGAGCATAATACCACCTCTTTAAAGATACTGACAGCTGACTTCACACAGAACTAATGGCGACTTCATCTCTCCTCTTCCCCCCCCCCCCCCCCCCCCCCCCTCTCCAACAGTTGTTCCGAAAACTGGAGCAGTGCAACACAGAGCTGAAGAAGTACAGTCATGTCAACAAGAAAGCTCTGGACCAGTTTGTCAACTTCTCTGAGCAGAAGGAAAAGCTAATCAAGCGTCAGGATGAGTTGGACCGTGGCTACAAATCCATCATGGAGCTCATGAATGTCCTGGAGCTGCGCAAGTACGAGGCCATCCAACTCACCTTCAAACAGGTACGTGGCACGCCAGACCCTGTTCAAAGTCCAGACATACATCCATCGACATCACTGTAATAAATCAAATAATTATTTCATGTTTTTTAATCTTTGCTGTGGCCTGTGGATTAGAATCACAATCAGAAGGCGCTTTATTGCCAAGTAGTGTTTTACACATACGAGGAATTTGCTGTGGTGATAAGGTGCTACACGTAGACAAAAATACAGTCAACTTAAGTAAATGTAGAAATATATAAATATAAATTTGGAATAGAAATGTAGAAATATAAAATATGGAATAGAAAAATCAGTGGCACTCAGACATAAGAGACATAAGTCTGTGCAATCATGTAAAATTTTTTGATACATGTTTAGGGTTCATACCTTGCCTGAAACCTGAAAATATGGCCCATAGAGATAAAATTGGGCAATATCATACCGGTGCAAAAGAGAATTAGTGGCTGTCAGTTTTCAGCGTCTTATAGGGAAGCTTTCAATAGTGTTCAGCATTAAGAGGTACTACTAAAACAGTATTTTTAGCCTCACAGTTAATGGTATAACAAGTAAACTCATTGGTGGCAACTACTGCTTTGTGTTTTACACACTACCAGCCTTTCTAGAGATCAATACCATGTTAAAACATTTGAAGTACTTGATTGATTCTTGACTATTTGAACTGTTAAAACACTACTGGCATGGAAATACAGCAGTATAGTTGCTGCAAATCTGCAAGATTGTATTAGTTGTTGTTGTTGTTGTTGTTGTTATTATTATGCCGTATTTTCTCCCCCTCAGGTGTCAAAGAACTTCAGTGAGGTTTTCCAGAAGCTGGTTCCGGGCGGCAAAGCTACATTGGTGATGAAAAAGGGTGACGCTGAAGGCAGCCAGTCTCAGGATGAGGGCGAGGGCGGTGGAGACAGTGAGAGGGGCTCTGGTTCACAGAGCAGTGTCCCTTCAGTGGACCAGTTCACTGGAGTTGGCATCAGGGTAAGAGTCTTTTTCAATAGTTTCAATAGCCTTTTTCACTGAGACTGCTTTTTTCAGTAGTTGAAGCATTACATTTCTTAAGGGTTTTTTAATTATATATTTTCTCAATCAGTCAAAGGTGTTTATTTTTAGAGAGAGGGAGAGTATTTTCTATAACTGTATCAGTCAAAAAATGCATTAAGTGAGCAACAACCTACATGAATTTCTTGGAATTATTCACATTATATAATCCACACATCAAAACTGAGCTACGATAAACATTACAAGTACCTCCTATCGAGTTGTTTTGTGTTGCCATGTTTTTGTCTGGAAACATGTGAATGTGTATTTCTGGACTATGTATCCTTGGGTCCCTGATCTATCCTCACAAAGCAGAACCAAGGTGAAGTTGGTCGTGAGATGAGTAATACCTGATTCTCTTCACTCTGAATGTATCTGTATCGTTATCAAAGCTTTCATAACAGCACAGAAACATTCTGATCATCTGTCCTCCCAAAACAGACTCTGATAATAATTAGCTGTTATGTGAAAATTTTTCTGTGTGTTTATGCCTCGGGTCTAATACACAACCTCCCCTGTCCCGTGTAGGTGTCGTTCACAGGGAAGCAGGGTGAGATGAGAGAGATGCAGCAGCTGTCTGGAGGTCAGAAGTCTCTGGTGGCTCTGGCCCTGATATTTGCCATTCAAAAGTGCGACCCCGCTCCTTTCTACCTGTTTGATGAGATTGACCAGGCCCTCGACGCCCAGCACAGAAAGGCAGTCTCAGGTACAAGTGCTACTATAAATAAATGTAGAGAGGGAATTAAGTGAATCATACATTATTTCACAGAGTAGTAACAAAAATGCACTGCACAGTTTTACACAGGTCAGATGCAGCTGGTGACTGGAATCGGCTGGTTTTCAGCTTAATCGGCCGTGACCGGGGCCATTCACAGTCATATCTGATCCTGTGCCGGTCACATTTACACAAATGCTGCGCTGCACAGTCTTTCACGTCCTGCGCACAGCGGCACAGACTGTCGCCAGCGTGAAAGTTCTTCACCACGAGTGAAGAAGACACAATGCTAGCAGCTAAAAATGTTTGAGAATAAACACTAAATAAGGTGGAGAATTAAGAAGAATTAAAATAGTGAGATAATAAATAACCTACTAGAAATAGTGTCAGGTATTCTTTTAAATATTTTCAAATAAAATATACCGCCTTACCACAGTTACAGTCATTCTGTGGGAAACACTGCGCTGTTATACTGCAATTAATTTTCAGTTAGATTTAATTATTTAATTAATGTAATTTGTACAGAAAAGCTCATAGCACATTTTTATTTTAAGATGTGTTTGAGTGAGAAAAGGTCCTGTAACCTGTTGCAGGTTTGGAGAAAATGTAAAAGGTATTTTTATACATTTAATAGTCAGAATTTTATTAAGAACACACGGTTTAGGGCTGTTCCCAACTAAGGACTTTTCATTCAACTTACTTTCCAGCTAAACTGAGGCTTTTTGAAGACCTTTTTTTTTTCGCTCGCACGCTCTCTCTCGCGCGCCAGTCTTGTGTGAGTTTACGGTGCATGCCGGGCTGCCGACAACTACATGCACGTCGCAGTTCCTCGCAGGTCTATTTCAAGTAGCCGGCTATTTAAAAACGATAAAATATTCTCTCTGTGGTTCATCAACGGTAATAAATTATCCGAAAGTCCCGCGAGGTGCGGACAACTCGGCACAGCACCAGTGAAGCTGGGGCTCAGTCTCTTCAGTAAGCGTTCCTCTTCCGCCCACCACACACACACTACGCCTACACATGCGCATGCGCATGACGACCCAAGGTTACAATTTTGGATTTATTTACGCACTTTTAAAAAGATTTATTGAAAGTTTTATTCTTTTTACATGTTTATTTACAGCATTAAACGTTGAATTGTGTATTGTAATAGGCTGTATATTAACTTATTGGGAGAAAACTGGTAGTTCTATGTAAAATCAGACGTTGAGCACCTTCGAATATTGGGGGTCAGCCCTAATACAGTTGAATGGACCCAGTGAGAAAAGCCAATGCTTATGCTGGTGCCGATCAAGATCCTAATAAATAAATAAAAAAATTTCCATTAAAGAAATGTTTGTGTATGCTGACAAATATAGTTCTTACAAAGGGAAGAAAAGGGAATCAGCCAGCTAGTCTTTATCACAGGCCTTATGCAGAATAATCAATGTTGGGGTCATTGTGTTAGACAGATTTGAAATGCATGGCTGCAGTTTGTGGTGGAGTTGCATTGGATAAAAAATTTAAAATTTTTTAAAAAATCTAATGATCTTAACGTGAAATGTGGTTTCCATTCTTTGCTAAGGCTGAAAGATTGAATGATGAGTCATAATATTCTCATAAAGTAAGAAAGTCATAATCGCCCTCTTTGTATTGTGTGTCTGTTACAGACATGATCGTCGAACTGGCAGGCCACGCCCAGTTCATCACAACCACCTTCAGGCCGGAGCTGCTTGAGTCTGCTGACAAGTTCTACGGTGTCAAATTCAGAAACAAGGTGAGTGTTCTGCCAAAGGGCAGGATTTGTCCACAGGGATCCTTCAAGTTTAAGCTAATCTAAACATGTGCATGTACAGCAAATAATATCAGGAAAATCTCTTAAAGATTTGCATGTGGAAAATTTAATGGTAGTGAACCGTCGTCCACCGTCGTCTTCCTGCAACAACTTCAGTTTCCTGTTAAAAACAAAGGTTGTCACCGGGCACTTTTTTTGCCCTAAGGAATATGTTGCAGCCCGGCTGAAGCCTACTTACTGCACAGATTCCAAAATCTTTTATACCTACTACTCATGTCGACACCAAATGTACCTCTGTGACTTGGGCCATGTAAAGAGCAAAAATAAGTTTGTCATCAGGGAATCGAGAGGGGCGACTTGTCATGATCCTTTCCTTATGTCCTGGTTTAAGGGAAGATGCTGCCATTATTTGAGCCTGTAGACCAGACTTGTTTTCTGCTGAGGTGCCTTTGTGAAAACTAAATATTTCCTCTTGGGTTTTTGAGGTTTCATAACAAATGAGCTGCTTAGTCTGAGTAGCTAAAATGAAGGCATTGATCTTATTATGCCATTGTCATTAACTGTGTGTGTGTTTGTGCGTGTTTTTAGGTGAGTCACATTGATGTAATCACAGCAGAGCAGGCCAAAGACTTTGTGGAGGATGACACCACCCATGGTTAATAGTCTTGAGCTCTTCATCATCCTCCTCGCCGCCTCCTCCTCCTCCACTGCGTAGCTTAAAGCCTTCCACAACACGGCCCAAAGACAAAATTATCTCACTCAATCCACCAGCCTTTTTTAGTCCTTCTGTTAAAAATAAACAGTGCAGTAAGTCGAAGCTTCTCAGTCCATCTCAGGAGTTGGAAATAGAATTGGATATGTTGTTTTGAGAATACATTTACATCATTTCAGGCTGATAAACTACAAGTTGGTTTTACTTTAAATCTGTGTCACGTTTTCCTGCTTCACCGTGTCAGCCGCACTGGATCTGACAGAAGTGTAGTTCTTGTACACTGAAAGAAATTGTCATTTTGTCTGAAGAGATCATTTGTTACCTTTCGTGTTACTGTGTTGAATTTTGATCTGTCATTTGAAACGTGAAGTGCCAGAGAAGCTCATAAAGGTAACAAGCCTTCAGGACCTTTTCAGAAAGCAAATCATCTTCTGTACATTTGAGACTGTTTTGATATGATGAAGATTGTTAAACTGAAAAAGCTCAGTGGAGATGGGAGGGTCTTATGATGATCTGGGTTTTTTTGTTGGTTTTTGTTGGCACCCTTGGAAAAAAACAAGTTTTTGTTCACTCTGAGGTTTCTGTAGTGTATTCTCTTTGTACTCGTTAAACGATAACTTGTATCTGTCATAACTAGCCACATGGCTTAAAATGCTTAAAGGTTGTGTTTTTTTTAAGGTTGTTAGCGTACTGCGTTATTGTTACTGTTATTTTTTTCCCCATATAAATATATGAATGACTTTAATTCTAAAACACAAGATATTCTTTTTGGAAGTCAACACGAGTCCCTGAATTTGATCAGTCGATCTTTCAAAAACACAAGAGATTCAGTGCTGGATGACCGTATCTATTTGGGTCCTGAAATGACTCATAACTTCAGTAGTAAGTCATGTTGTATTGTTTATCTTTTATTTCCTTACTGGATGTATGGGATCAAGCTCCTTTATATGTTGTACCTAGTTTCAAATCTTTTTTTTTTTTTCAAAGTCTTATGGTTCCTTTTTATGTAATTAGAAAACTTGCAAAAAATAATAAAAGATTTAAAAATAAACTGAATGACACTGTAAGTGTTACTTAATAGACCCACTAGGTGGTGCTGTGTCACTGATACTAGACTTTTTCACATGGTTGAAGCAGTTTTTAAACAGAAAAGGTCTTTGGTAACGAAGTAACGTGAATTATGATGCATTATTGAAGAGCATTGTAGTTAGACAAGATTTTTTTTGGATAGTCTTCATCGCAATATTATCCCTAAAGTACAGGAATTTGTGAGAATGCAAAGCCATTCTTACAGCATAATTATTACTGAAGATGAATCTAAAATTGGTTTGCTGGAAGTCATTTTATTAAAATTCATACACAGTGAAAATGCTTCTGACTCGATCCTATTTTACTTGCAGTTACACTTTTTTTTTTTTTTAAACCGCTGACACGGAAAAATCTTTGAATCCACAAACATTAGTAAAGCACATATTACGTTCAACACAATTTCAGGAATTTCCAGGAATGTTTTCTATCGTATTGGTTTTAAAATAACTTTCTGTGACCTACTTTTACAGCATATGTATGCCTGTATTCAAACCTCCAATTTCACTACATAAATAAATCATAAATTATAATGCATCTTGAAATATCCAGGTAAGGAAACGCCATCACCCAACTTTAGATTCGATGTCGAGGCCCAGCAGACACAAGGTCAGCGACTACCTGGCATCAAGGTCAGAATGTGGCGCTCAGTAAGCAGCCCTCACACCTGTGTCATATTTTGTTTTTGATATCAATGAGCCTGTTGAATTACAGTGCGCCAGGGGAGATCCCACATGTCACACGTACCAGGCTGTCATTCTACTGTAATATCACCTTGCACTGACGGAGTATCTGAAAGGTTGTGACCTGCTGAGATGGATTCTGTAGACCCCTGTTGTAATACCGCAGACCTCCAGAGCATCTCGGTCTGGTGTGTTCGCCAGGACTTGCATAGTACCTTACGTCAGAGGTTTTTTATCTTTGAAAGTAGAGTACCCACAACATTTTTCATCACCATTATACTCCACTTTTACACCGGTTTTATTGTTGCCTGAAGCAGAAATACATTTCTGGCCTGAATGGAGATAACTGGTGAGGCTGTGGTCGGCTTCTACAAGGGGTGATGGTGCAGTGGATAAGACACATGCCTTTGGTGTGAGAGACCCAGGTTCAATTCCCCACTGTAATATATCCACCAATGTGTCCCTGAACAAGACACTTAACCCCTAGTTGTGTGCAACTTCTGACATACAAATAAATTGTAAGTCGCTTTGGATAAAAGCGTCACTTAAAGGAATAAATGTAAACAAGGTGAACTAAAACAATCAGATATTTTTCTTAATTCTCTCTGGGCCTATTATAGCTTGGTAACCACTGCATCATACCCCACTCTCTCTGCTGTACTGTCCTCCCACAGCGTCCTCCACAACTAATTCACACCTCTAAAGTGAAAAATAAAAATAACACCCCCCCCCATCTCACTCCTCAGCTGTTATTCCTCCTCTCATTTCTCTACCATACACATTATTCTGGTACATGTAGGGAACTTTATTTTATTTATTTATTTATTTACATTTTTTCACTCCAGGGTGTGAGGAACACTAATTTACAAGTTCTGTGGCACCTTTCCATTCCTGTTTGATTGTCAGAAGTGTATTACACAATGACAATGATGGATAACAGCTTTAATGGTCTGAAATGCAGTAATGCAAACTGTTTACTATTCATTCAGTGAGAGTGAAGAGAGACAGGAAGGACTGAAAGAGAGTCAAGCCGAGTTTATTTGTATTGAACCTTTTCTGCAGCCAGGTCACAATGGAACGAACACAAGATGAAAAATAGGATTTCAAGTAAAAAATAAGACAGGGAGAGAAAACGGGTGTTGAAGGTGACAGAGATCCTGTTTGTGAACAAAACAAACTCAGGTTGGTAAAGTAATGTAAGACTCTTTCTAGTTGAAAGAGAGATTTTGGATATAATATATACGTATATTATATATTACGTTATTTTTTTCATGGCACAAACATACAGTTGTGTTGGTTAGCAGATAGCAGATGTGTGTGTTAGGAAATTACTAATTTAAAGCAGATTTTGTTGTTTGAATTAAGAGCAGATATGTTGCACAGGCTGCCAGATATTAACAACCATGTACACTTTCTGTCGCCAGGTCAGCTGACAGATGATGAGGATCAGGACGCTTCATATTTGTTAAAACTCATCTCCTACAGATTTCAATCCCCTTACATAAAATTAGCAGCAGTAAACTACTTGGCCTTGTGACCTTCCAAGATTATGCTGTAGCTTTGCTAGTTATACAGGTGCTGGTCATATAATTACCAATATCATCAAAAAGTTGATTTATTTCAGTAATTCCATTCAAAAAGTGAAACTTGGATATTATATTAATTCATTACACACAGACTGATATATTTCATATGTTTATTTCATTTAATTGTGATGATTAAAAATGACAACTAATGAAAATCTCCACATTCAGTATCTCCAAAAATTTGAATATTACTGAAGACCAATACAAAAAAAGGATTTTTAGAAATGTTGGCCAACTGAAAAGTATGAACATGAAAAGTATCAGCATGTACAGCACTCAATACTTGGGGCTCTTTTTCCTGAATTACTGCAGCAATGCGGCATGGCATGGAGTCGATCAGTCTGTGGCACTGCTCAGGTGTTATGAGAGCCCAGGTTGCTCTGATAGTGGCCTTCAGCTCTTCTGCATTGTTGGGTCAGGCGTATCGCATCTTCCTCTTCACAATACCCCATAGATTTTCTATAGGGTTAAGGTCAGGCGAGTTTGCTGGCCAGTTAAGAACAGGGATACCATGGTCCTTAAACCAGGTACTGGTAGCTTTGGCACTGTGTGCAGGTGCCAAGTCCTGTTGGAAAATGAAATCTGCATCTCCATAAAGTTGGTCATCAGCAGGAAGCATGAAGTGCTCTAAAACTTCCTGGTAGACAGCTGCGTTGACCTTGGACCTCAGAAAACACAGTGCACCAACACCAGCAGATGACATGGCACCCCAAACCATCACTGACTGTGGAAACTTTACACTGGACTTCAAGCAACGTGGATTCTGTACCTCTCCTCTCTTCCTCCAGACTCTGGGACCTTGATTTCCAAAGGAAATGCAAAATTTACTTTCATCAGAGAACATAACTTTGGACCACTCAGCAGCAGTCCAGTCCTTTTTGTCTTTAGCCCAGGCGAGACGCTTCTGACGCTGTGTCTTGTTCAAGAGTGGCTTGACACAAGGAATGCGCAGTGAAACCCATGTCTTGCATACGTCTGTGCATGGTGGTTCTTGAAGCACTGACTCCAGCTGCAGTCCACTCTTTGTGAATCTCCCCCACATTTTTGAATGGGTTTTGTTTCACAATCCTCTCCAGGGTGCAGTTATCCCTATTGCTTGTACACTTTTTTCTACCACATCTTTTCCTTCCCTTCGCCTCTCTATTAATGTGCTTGGACACAGAGCTCTGTGAACAGCCAGTCTCTTTAGCAATGACCTTTTGTGTCTCCTCCTTGTGCAAGGTGTCAATGGTCGTCTTTTGGACAGCTGTCAAGTCAGCAGTCTTCCCCATGATTGTGTAGCCTACAGAACTAGACTGAGAGACCATTAAAAGGCCTTTGCAGGTGTTTTGAGTAATTAGCTAATTAGAGTGTGGCACCAGGTGTCTTCAATATTGAACCTTTTCACAATATTCTAATTTTCTGAGATACTGATTTTGGGGTTTTCATTAGTTGTCAGTTATAATCATCAAAATTAAAAGGAATGAACACTTGAAATATATCAGTCTGTGTGGAATGAATGTATACATTATACAAGTTTCACTTTTTGAATGGAATTACTGAAATAAATCAACTTTTTGATGATATTCTAATTATATGACCAGCACCTGTAGGTCACATTGAAATTAATGCGTCTTTTGCCCATTATAGCTAATGCCACGACAGTAACTTTTAAAATGTAGACAATCGTTGCAGCTATTGTAGAGGTCAAAAGCGAAGTTGACAACTGTTTTACTGATCAGCCGTTTTAGCAATCAGATGGCCAGTAAAGTTGGTGGTAGGCAGCACCAATTGAGCAAAAATTTGAAAAAAAATCTGCTTTTTTTTTTTAAGGGCATTAAGGGAGCAAGGAGGACTACACTTCCTGTAAACCCATAGTTTGATTAATAATTATAATATGAAAGTAATTTGTAAAATATACAAAGTAATATTCTAAACAGATTGAAATCTGTTCATATAGGTGCGTTTTTAAGTTTTCTTTTTTAATGATAACACCTTGTCTTTTCTTCTGGCCGTCAAGTGCTTCTTCCACTACCTAATCCATCCATCCATTGTTGGCATCCCCCCTTTTCCTCTATTCTCAGACAATAAACACCATACCTTTTTAACCGTCCAACCACCTCTCTGCCTTCTGGTATCAGAATAGCAATGAACAGATACCAGCTCCTATAATCAAGCCCTTGTCATAAAAACAGGCATAAAGCTGTCCTGGTTTTTACAGTCAACAAGTTAATTTGTTGTCTAACAGGTGCTTACGAACTGGGGTGGAGAGTGGGAGGAGAAGGAGGAGGAGGGGGGCCCTGTGAACAGATTGACTCTGTCCTTGCACTTCATGGTGGTCCATCTGCCATGCGGCTTGACTGGCTATCTCTCTCTGCTGCTCCGTGTCTGTTTTATCTGCCTGTCAGATGATCAGTCTGTCTGTCGTCTGTCTGCTTGTCTCACTGCCTATCTCAGACATGTGATTCTGGTCTGTGTTAAAGTTCCTATATAATCATGTTACTGTCCCACAGCCAGAGCTGGAGCCTGAAAGTGGTGGTGAGGGATGAGTTGCAGGTTGCCAAGCAAAGGGTCACCGAAGAGAGTTGTGGTTTTATGGGCATTTTCTGCTCTGGTGGAAAATGTTCTAATTCATTAAATCTCAGTAAGCACGGCCAAAGCAAGCCCAAAGTTTTGTGTATGTATGTTAAGCAGGTGAGGGTGACATTAGAGACTTA